TCAGAAGGAAACTTACAGCATGAGATGTTTATTAAAGGGTAAAAAGATTCAAATCAGTGTTCCATGCTCTGTCCTGAGAAACCACTACAGAAAAAGAGGAGCAGGATAGTTTCATATCAAGCAGGAAGGAAATAATAAAGAGTAAAATTAATGAAATTGCAAAAGGACATAAAACAGAGAAAACAATGAAACAAAAGCTGGTATTTTCAAAAGATCAATAGCCTATTAATCTCTTGCTGGACTGACAAAGAAAAAAAAGACAAAACACAAATTACTCATAAGAAAAGGTAAGATCATTACAGACACACCAGACATTAAAATAAAAACAAGGGAGTAGTGTGAACAATTCTGCATAGAGAAATTCAACTTGAATGAAATGAACCAATTCTCTGAAACTACCAAACTACTAGGATTCACTTAAGGAAAACTGGCCCAGATGAATTATTTAAAATCTTCAAACACTCACACAAAGTGCAAGTGAAACTTGTTACACGGACAAGTTTCCCAACCTTCGAAGGAGAAATAACATGAGTTCAACCTCTTCCAGAGAACCAAAGCTGAGGAAACAGATCCCAACCCATTATATGAGGTCAATATTGCCTTGATACCACATCCAGACAGGCGCAGGAATGAATGAATGAATGAATGAGCCAATGAGTGATGAGTGACAAACAAAAGATGATTATGTAGTACAATGTATCTTACGAACACAGAAACAAAAATCTTCCATAAAATACTAGCAAATAATAACCTTAAATAAAAATAACACATGACCACATGGTGTTTAGCCCCAAAATTCAAGCCTTTCTGAAGGAACATTCAAGTCAGTCAATGTAATTCAGCATATTAACAAACCTCAGAAGAAAAACCACATAATCAAAATCAACTGAGGTAGAAGAGCATTTTCAATAATTCAACACCAAATACATGAAAAATTTCTCAGCCATCTAGAAAAACAGGCAGTCCTTAAACTTGACAATGGGCATCTATCAAACCCAGTGAAGAACAACTGAATGCTTGCCCTCTGAGTTTGAGAACAAGTCGTGTGTTCACCCTCATCGCTCCTGTTCAACATCAAGCTCCCTAGTCAAGTGCATAAAGCAGGGGGGGGGGGGGGGATGCACAGATTAGAAATGAAAAAATACAACTGAAGTTATTTATACACAACATAATTGTCTACAAAGCAAATTCCAAAGAATATACAAAGTGGATCCTTGGATATATAAATGAATTAACAAGGCTGTATGATACAAGGTCAATATACAAAAAAAAAAAAGCAATCATTTCTCTATGGCAGTAATGAACAAATAAAATTTCTGTTAGAGTATTTCAGCACAATAGAGAACCAAAAAGTACAAAATGAGCAGGTTTATTGAGCTGAGGACGTGGAAAGGAACACACAACCCAAGGCTGCCCAGCTGTCTCCTTCCACCAGATACAGAGAGGCAGAGGGTTATGTGCTGACCCCTGATGGGAAGTGGCGCATGGGCGGATACTGATGACGTGTGAGGAGCCGATTGGAATTCTCTGTGCGGCAAACAGGAAGCGGAGCTGCAATTAGGGCTGAGGAAGAAGCCGGCAGTGGTTGGCGTCCCGCTCTGGCCTTCGCCAGGTTAGACCACTGCCATCGCTGTACAGGAATTTATACTAGGGCAAGAAACTTTCAATTTTAACTTTATGGAACTTTTAAAGATGCTATTTATGGGCTGGGGAAGTAGCTCAGTAGTAGAGTGCTTGCCTAGCATGCCTAAGGCCCTGCGTCAATCCCTTGTACCACACACACACAAAGCTATTTATAACCCCAGAAAATTGAAATATGTAAGTATAAAAGAGCCTGTGTATTTTAAACCACAAAATGATAATGAAAAATAATCCAAGAACAGGGCTGGGGATTTAGCTCAGCAGCATAAGCACCTGCCTTGCAAGCAGGCGGTCGTGAGTTCGATCCCCGGTACTGATAAAAATGAAAAAGACAAAAAATAATAATAATAATAATAATCCAAGAAGACTTAAACAAATGGAGAAACATACTATGTTCATGGATTAGAAAATTCCAGATGGCTATATCACTTTTCCCCAAAACTAATGTACAAATTCAATGCAAATCCAAACTCCAAGAATGAGTATTTTTATATCTATAGAACTAGACTTTTACTGCTTTATCTTTGCCATCCTATTTATTCTACTGTATATTATAGTGATTTATAGAGAAAATTTGTGTTTTGCAATAAGTAAAAATGTAAATTTTAGTAATATGACAAAAGACGTGGTGAAATAGTTATCAAATATATAGCATTATTAGGTGATTCTATAGGATAAATATAACAATATTAAGAGAAACAGGAATGCAGACCATGAAAAATAAAATATACCTTTAAGAAACTGATTTTAAAATTATATGTAAGCTCATAAACAGAAATCACTATGCATCCAATAAAATAAAAAAGACTCATAATAATATCAAATGCTGGCAAGGATGTGAAGGAACTTGTACTCTCATATGTTGCTATTGACAATGCAAAATGGTACAGCTACTCTGAAAAACACTGGCGATTTTCAATAAGATTAATCACATACTTGTCTTATGCTTCAATAATCCTGCTCTAAGGTATTTACTGTAGGAGAACTGAGAGCCTATATTCACATAAAACTTGTCCATGAGCATTTATAGCAGCTACAAGCAGCAAAAACCGGAAACAACCTGGATGTCCTTGAACCAGTGAGTAGATAAACAAATTTCGACACAGTCATATAATGGAAGGCCACCTAGCAATAAAAAGGAATGGACCGATGATACACCAGTAGCTTTGAGGGACATGTTTGGTGAAAAAGCTAGCTTCAAAATGTTGTATGTTGGGGCTGAGGATTTAGCTCAGCGGCATAAGTGCCTGCCTTGCAAGCAGGCAGTCGTGAGTTCAATCCCCGGTATCGATAAAAAGGAAAAAGACAAAAAAAAAAAAAAAAAATGTTACATGTTCTCTGTTTTCATCTCTTCAACAGTCTACACAAGGTAAGACTCAGGAATGAAGGATAATAGAAAGACGGGTAATAAGAATTGGGGTAAGGAGTTTGGCTGAATGGGCAACAGGAGTCTTTTTGGGGTGATGGAATTGTAACCTGATTTTAGTGCTGCTGTGCAAAATTATACATGAATTAGAACTGCATTCTCACAAAAAGACCATTTTTATTCTACATAAATGTTTAATTAAAAATTAGTTGCAATTAGTATAGTTTATATTTCATTTTGTTCCCAATAAGACTTTACATTATTTCCTTTAACTGTAAGACATTTACATTAAATATAAATCCTATAAACTTTTGCTGCCAGAATTTATTCAAAATCTGGCTAGATGGTGACATTTGAGGCTTACACATGTTCACCCTAGTTTCTCCCTCTGTCTACCCTTTGATAGTGCCCTTTTTTCCCAGCTGTCTCTGATACTTTTCTCCTTCGTTTCCCACTCTTCTTCTCTCCTCTGTTGCGCCTTTGTGTTTTGGAGGTTGTTTTGCTCTGTTTTGTGTGTGCCTGCACATCTGTGCCTTTTTTTTTTTTTTTTTTTTTGGTACCAGGGACTGAACTCCAACCTTGTGCTTGCCAGGCAAGTGCTTATATTGCTGAGCTAAATCCCTAGTCACCACCCCCCTCCCTTTTTATTTGAGTCAGGGTCTCACTACATAGCCCAGGCTTGTCTCAAACTTACAGCGATCCTCCTGCCTCAGCCTCCCAAGTGCTGGGATTCCCAATGTGCGTCATCATGCCCAGCCCTTTTCTTTTTATTCTGTCTTAACTGATTGTGTTTTCATATGAGGGATACACTTTAGATTATATTTCTGTTTTATAAAAACCCTGAAGTTAGTTATTTTTTTTAAAGTTTAGGGAGCTGAATATTTGATATCACAAATTTTAAATATTCAGTAAAATTGCTTACATGTTGATTTTTACTTGTTTTTATTTTTTTTCTGGTGCTGGGAATCAAACTGAGGGCTTTGTACATCCCCATCCCAAGTTGATTTTTCTTATGAATGGTTCCCTCAGTGGATATTTCCCCTTCAGTTGCTTAGGGGATCGTAGAAAAGGGGGACAGGTTTATGACCCTGGTCTAGCATTTATGCAAATCTTTCCGCTCACAGCTGACATAACTTTCACTGCTTTGCTTTCACAAAATCAAGCTTTACTAGGTGTTTTTTTAAAGTTACTTTAAAATGAAATTATATTTATTCCTTTGCATATATAAAAACATCTTAAGTGGATCACATAGTAACCAACAATGCATTCATTTTAGGGCCACCCTGGAGACCCTACTGAACCCAACACATTTGTAACAACCACGTAGATATGGACAAATCACCCAAGACAGAGATTTAAGGATAATTAGCAAAAAAAAAAAAAAAAAGTGTCATATATGCACAGCTATTTCCATTACAAGGTGATCGTCAGGAATTAAACTGAGCTTTGTTGAGGGAAACTCTGGCTTAGGAAGAAAACCTAAGTTTGCCAGACTGAATTAAACTGTGTTAAATAAAAAGTGAGTTAATTTGCTTGTAGATTTACAAGATTAAACTAGAAAAAGGCATAAACAACTATTTGGAAGAAAACAAAGAGACATTATGGTAGCCACTGTTGATTTCCTGCTGTCTTTTTCTGAAATCCTGTGTTATTTGCATTGTTTTACTCTGCTCTACTTTATTCTGTTTTCTTTTGGTTTATTTTATTCTATTTAAAATAAAATAAAATTTTAAAAAACTAGAAAAAGGGTGGTAGTCTACGAATTTCTGTGCCAACAGATACACTGAGCCAGCTCATTGTATAAACAGGTGAACCAGGCGTGGTGTGCACATCTATACTCCCAGCACTTGGGAAGCTGAAGCAGGAGGATCACTGTGAGTTCAAGGCCAGCCTGGACTGCATAGCAAAACCTTGTATCAGAAAGACTACCAAAAATGAAACAAAACAAAAAAAACCAGATTTTTGCATAACCAAAAGAGAAAGGGTGTTTTACTGTTATCTCCACTGCCATCTTCAGGTGCAGTTCCTCTCTTCTTCTCATGTGCATCTTCTGAGTTTTCTACTTCCTCAATAACCATCCTTTTCCCTTTGGGTTGGGGCTTAGATGTGAGCTCATCATTTTTCAGATTTCTTTCAACCTCTGACAGGATTTTCTGCAACATAATCATATCCATGAAATGTTTCTCTTTAATAAAAAAAAAAAACCATTCCTCCAGGTAAGAATAAATGAAGATATTGCAATATAAACGTAAGATTTTTAATGAAGGTTTAATTTTTTTAAAACTTCATTGCTTTATTTGATAGTAATTATATACACCCACTATATAAAAAAACAACTTTAGAGTAACAAGTATACTTTAGGTTTTCTATTAGGGTATATGCCCATTGTTGAGTTAATTTTTACATGTGGTTAAGATAAAGATACATTTGGATAAAGCCTGAAAGTTAATATGTAAACGTGAAATTATGTAAGCTCACAAAATTAAAAGTGGCTTTTCTTGTTTCAAATTTTCCTTTTATAACATTGTTCCGTTGACACAATAAACATAACCACGTGTAAAGTAAACACAGAAGGGTGCAGTGCATACAGCAGGTAATCTCACAGGCTTGTGTGGAAACCCAGGCACGACTTGTTGGAGGGAAGTTCTCCATCTCTTTCTTCCATTTCTGATCATTCTGCAAACAAAGACAATAAACTGCCTTTCTTCGAGAGTCTTTAAGGCTGTCTACCTTAGCCTTGGAAAACAGAAATGGCATTTCCCTGGAGAGGACAAGCAATTTTGTTTGCTCTCCAGTATAACAAAAATGCTCTTTCCCCCTGGAGCAGAGATCGGCTAGTTTGTTTATACCTCATCATAAAAGGCTGGGGTTTCCTAACTTTGAAAGTCCTCATCCATCAGAGGAGGACCCTGAGTACGCGACATCCATTTGGGTCTCTCTGTGCCATCCCTGGGAGCAAGGGGAACTGGACAGAATGTGAAGCACATCTGCTGGACGTGTCAGGAATAAAAAGTCCTTTATCTCTGACTCAAGGTATCTTGGATGCTCTGCTAAGTCACCTCGTCAATTTGTAAGTAGGGTAAAATCTCAGATCCTTCACAGTCCCTGACATTTACCTCTGCTTTTCAGCCTTGACACAGAGCCCTGACACTGCATCTGAGTTAATCCACTCCGTCAGGTTGTGCAGGCTACCAAGGATGCTATGTTACCATGCCAACAACAGAAAGACACTCTCTACGGCCGTGTAGCTCAACCCTCATCCTAGCTAGGAAATTACTTTGCATAAAAAACTGAGATTAGCTCAGGGAAAAGCATTGCCTACAACACTGCAGGAGAGAGAAAAATTAAATATTTGACACTCGTGGATAGGTTTATACTTTGTGCAATTTTTTTTATGAGTTACTTTACTCAACTTCAAATCTATGTTACATTTTTCAGGTGTCCGGGCTATACCGCTTTTTAAAGCTATAACTTCACCTCAGGGTAATTTAATCAGCAAGGTCGATACAATTTCAATATAAATCCAGAAACAGCAAATTATAGAATTAGGTGAGAAATTACTCTCTATACTTACCTTGGCCAAATCATTATTGGGTTCAACCTCCAGTACATTCCTCAAATCTTCTATGGCCTCCTGAAGCTTGTTTTGATGTTTATAAGTAGTGGCACGGCGCAAAAGGGCTGAAATTTACCAAAGTAAAAAATCTGTTTTAATACATGACATTATGGTAAGAACGTGTTTCGTAAGTATAAAACTGTAAGTAGCTAGCACAAAAGCTCCAGTACACCCATTTTCACATTGTGGAACATACAGGAAATGGTCTTGTGGGAAACAGCATAGGTTGCAAGAGCCAATTGTTTCCTCTAATCACCTGTGTCCTCTGATAGCCTCTGGCCCTACCCCTAACCCTAACCCTAACCCTAACCCTAACCCTGGCTCTCTCCCCTAAGGCAGAGAGACTCTGTCCCTTAGGTCTTCACAAGCACCATGCTGTGCTGTATCACTGGGAAGCTATTTGCTAAAACAGCGGTGTGTTCCTTTTATCATCAGCACTACTATGGTTTCATGGCTTCTTTAAAACTCAGAAAATCTCTCACTGAAATTTAGTATATTACTGACAAGCCTCTAGCTCAGAATATAGCATCTTACTAAAATCTAGTTAGCCATCTCTAAAATGAGGAGTCACCTAGCAAGGTGGACTGAGAGAATCTTGATGATAAAGTCAGCTAAGGTTGTGAAATTGAGCACGTTGGTAATTTGCATCAGATTTTTGGGAAGATTTTGATATGTAATTTTATGATTATTTAACATCACAACCAATGCCTTCTTTTTTTTGTACCGGGGATTGAACTCATGATCTCATCTGCCAGGCACGCACTTGTGCCACTGAGCTAAATCCCTGGCCCAAAATCTGTGCATCTTTTTGTTGTTGTTGTTGGTACCGGGAATCAAACTCACGACCGCATGCTTGCAAACAGGCACTTATGCCGCTGAGCTAAATCCCTGGCTTGTGCCAATGCCTTCTTAGTCCCCTCATTGATCATCACATAATGAGACAACTTTGTCCATTAAGTCAACACATTGATTAAAGAATTAGGCTCATAATGCTGAGAAGTGAGAAATTTATATCTGACATATTTTGTATGCCATTTTAAGACATATTTATAAATTTAATCAATGTGATTTTAGTTTGAGGATGAGCCTTCAAAACCTAAAGGATGAATTTGGCATAAATTTAATTATATAGTAGATCATGCCTTAAGTATACGTTAGCTACTGCCATTGCTACTCAGGTTTCCAATAGGAACTTTCATAAAGAAATATCCATGATATAACAGTTATCAAGCCAGGCATGATGGCACATGCCTGTAATCCCAGCACTGGGAAGCAGGAAGATTGGAATTCAAGACCAGCCTAGGCTACAAAGTGAGTTCAATGTCAGCCTGAATTACACAGTGAGATCCTATCAAAAAAAAAAAAAAAAGGGAAATGTATGAAGGGACTGATTCACATATAGAAATTCAGCTTTATTTCTAATATGTTAAACATAAATATATTATCCACAAATAGTGCTTGATGAACTCTGCTATAAATATAAAAGCATTCAATGACTATTTTACCCTTTATGTTTCCAGGATCTAACTCCAAGACCTTTTCGCAATCCTGAAAAGCACTATTCCAGTTCTTCAATTTGATTTCTGCTTGAGCTCTGTTGTTATAAGCAGCTGTAGTGGGAAGCACCGATATACTCCTAAAAAAAAGAAACGCAGATTGGCAACAAGCAGACCTGAGGCCAACATAAGGATATAGAGAAACACTACCAAAGTTGAAAACAAATAACCATACCTTGTCAACAAGCACAAAGTAATTAATGGAAAGAATTTAATACCTACCTGGCTATGGCTTAAAGTTGGCTTGGAATGCTTTGAAATAATGAATACCAAGATATAAGAAAGATAAGGCACTGGCACACTGAATTTACCAAATCTAGAGATGAACAGACAGTGCAAATGGGAAAGTAATCAATGTGATCACTGAAGATCATTAAAGGTGATTCAATCGTATAATTCTAAGAATTAGTGATTCTACAAGCTCAGTTTGTGAAACACTTGAGGAAAATATCTACTTTTCATGGACTGTAAGAACTTCAACAGTTCCTGGAAGTATTTATGAATGTCTGCCATGATCCGTGTACTTTGCTGGGAACTGAGGATACAGTGGTGGGCTCTGCGCTTACAGACACACAGCCTAGTTAGTGTCAAAGCACAGATGCACGCTGCATCTTGACAGGGGCTGCAAAGGAGAGGTGAGACTGCTACAGGAGCCTCTAAATGACACGGTGGAGGCAGCAGGGGTAGACTGAGATTTAACCTAGTTAACCAGATTTCCTAGGAGGTCTGAGCATATTTCGCCACGCATAACAGTGCATACCTGTAATCTCAGCACTTGGGAGGCTGAGGCAGGAGAATCACCACGAATTTGAGCCCAGCCTGGGATACATAGTAAGTTCAAGGATAGCTTGAACTGCATAGTGAGACCTTGTCTCAAACAAACAAACAAACAAAAAATTTCTCCAAAGAAGTAAGGCACTGACTAAATTCTAACAGGTAAGTGGTAAAGTACTTGCCTAGCAGGTACAAGGCCCCGAGACTGATCAAAAAGGAAGGAAGGTGAAGGAAAGGAAAAAGGAAGGATGGGAAGGAGGGAGAAAGGAAGGAAACAGAAGGAGGAAGGGGGATTAGGTTTGGTTTTTGTTTGTTTTTTGGGCTCCCCCCCAATAATGTCTCAACACATAGCCCAGGCTGGCCTTGAACTCGTGATCCCCCTGCCTCAGCCTCCTGAGCTGGGATTACAGGCGTGAGCCACCATGCCCAGTGAGAAGAGCATTTTAGAAAGAAGATTCAGGATGTACAAAGGTCCTGTGGGGGATTAGGTCCAGGCAGTCTGACTGCATGTTGTGTAGATTTTCTGTCAAGTTCCTTCCAGATGGGTTTCTGTTCTCTGCAAAATACAAGAGTCCTCTGTCCAGGTGGGATTAGGGTGAAAACCTAAGAGCTCAAAAAAATACTGAAAGGTGAATTTATGAGCAATCACAAGAACAGGACCTTCAGTGAGTCCAACATAGACTATTTAGCTTGGTTATATTTTTCCCAATAATTACAGATTATCATTTTTTAAATGGCAAGTTTAAACCACCACGAACACCTACTCACCTCGTATAATACATGACAGCCTCTTCATAATCGCCCACGTTGAAAGCTTCATTTCCTTTTTCTTTTTCACGGGTAGCAAGAAAACCCTTTTCCTGCTCAGTGAGACCTAGAGATAATATTACCTATTACATGTGAAAATGTAACAGAGGTTTTCAGCCCAAGAATGCTTTTTAAAATTGTATTTCAGTGCTAGGGATGGGACTCAATAAGCAAGTACTGCTCCCTGAGCCCCAGCCCTGCCCCCGAGGGTGCTCACCTAACACGAGCAGAAAGCATAAATTAAACAAAGCATAAAATAGAAAGCTTTCCTAAACTTAGGGATTTAAAAAAAAAACTCAGAATTATTAAGAATTTAGGGGATTTTTATGATTAGCTTTGTCACCTCCTATGGACTTCATCATCCTTCTGTTGTGAAGCAGAAAGTAAAACATGTAATTTATAGGAAAGAAAAGATTTTAAAAAAAGCAATAAAAACAAATGAATCACAGGAAGAGAATCAAGTCTTAGCAAATCTAGTTAGTATAACTTGTCCACCTATAATTTTTGTGGGTTAACAGTTGTTATCACTACTAGAAAATTTAAAGACTACTAAGTTAGTCTAAATTAGTCTTATTTTTCTTGTTACCTGCTGTGTCTACTCTTGTCTCAATTTTAGATAAATGTGACTTGTTGTTTATTATGGTCTTTTCTTTACAATCGTCATCAACTTTTGAACATTCCTTTTCCACATCAAATCTTAAATGGAAAAAGAAAAAACACTGAAAAAAGAAATAATACTAGCAAGAAAATATGTTTATACTTTGAGTATCCCTAATATGAAACACTTAGGACCTACAAATTAAATTTTATAGTATTTGCATAGACATAATGAAAACACTTGTGGATGAGACCCAAGTGAAAACACAAAATTCATTTATATTTCATATACAATGTATAAACACAGCCTGATCAAATTCAGTGCAAGATCTTAAAAAAAAATTGTACATAAGCCAAAGTTTCATGGAATTGCATTTTCTACCTGTGGCGTCCTGTCAGTGCCAAAAAGTAAGTTCACAGTTTGGACCATTTCAGAATTCTGGGTTAGGGAGGCTCAACCTGCATTGTGCCTTTGAACACGCATTGAAAGCATGCTTCACAGGTTAGTTTTTCAACTCACACGCACTTTCTTAAGAAAACACACCAGTAAGCAAAGCTTTAAACATTAACGGATCTAAACTGTGCAGAACGCTGACATTAAAAGTGTGACCAAGTTCTCTCCATTTACAGGGTTTATACTTTTAAAGTAAAGTTTGAGTAGGGAGAGAGAAATTGTTAGTTTTGTTTGGTTTATTTAAAAAAGATGCAATAGTTTTTATTTAATTTTTAAAAATCAAAAGTACTTAGATATGTTCAATATTCTACTAAAATAATTTGATACTTGGGTATGTTCAGGTTTATAATAATTATTTTTAAAGTTATTATAGTATATAATGGTAAAGAATTTTTCACTGACAAATTTTATGTAAAGAAATGTAAAACATACTTATCCCACTCTGCATAATCCCTTGGAATTTTCTTTTTAGCTGGTTTATTTTTAGAAGAATATTTTTCCTGGAAGAATAAAATAATGTTTTATTCTTTGTATTTTATTTTATCTAAGATTAGCAGGGTTTAATATAAATGCAAATCAAATAAAATACTGAATTAAGATACACAAATGCAATGAGTAAAAAATACAGGTAACCTTGAGGTTGTAACATTTAAGTATCATAATTTAATAATATATAGCAGATAAAAGAGCATGTTAAATTTGTTGTTACTTCTAGGAATAATCTGTAAGCCTGTACATATATATATATAATTTGAAGACTTACATGTGGATACTTCTTTATAAATTTATTTTTATGCACAGATTTGGTATATGTACATAACACATCTTTTCAAACTTTTTGTGTTTGTCTTTCTGAGATAAAATTCACTATGCAAGCTGGCCTTGAACTCACTTTGTAGGCCAGGCTGACCTCAAACTCTCCTGCCTCAGCCTGCCGAGTGCTTGGATTACAAGTGTGCATCACCACACCTGAGTGTAACACATTTTCCTTTTATGTCCTCTTGTCCTCCCCACATCTTTTGATGAGCTAAATTCTGACTCATTCTTTTAAAACCTAGACGTTGGGGAAAATTACTTTGGAATAATTACTTGGCTGTACCTCTAATAAAGCTGTTTTGTTTGAGATGACAGATACCCAGCTTGGGCTAATTTCATTAAAAAGGAATAAATCCATTTATGTAACCAAACTGGTGAACAGGCCGGGATACTTGCCAAGTAAAGGGATTCCCATGCCATCTCTCCAGCCCCTTCCACTGCTACCGGGAGGTGGGGCCCAACCCAACCAATCTCTGATGTCCCCTGCCTGCTGATTTCACTTCCCTCAAGGGCCATGGGCTTTCTGTTTGCGCTAGGGGTGTGTCCGTAGCAATCAGGCCTTATATCTGAAAGGATTTTGCCGCAGATGGGACACTGTAGCCGGTGGAAGGCTGGGAGGCGGAACCAAGGGGCTCTATCTTGAGGTCACCTTTCCTGCCATTAGGCAATTTACCTGTGGTGCCAAATGAATACCAATGGGCTACCTGTGCATCACTAATGCCTTCTTAGGCACCACCCAAACCTAAGCTACATGTATGCCCCACACCACGTGTCAGGCGGAGAGAATGCCAGACCCTGAGGGTCAGGGGGTCTGTCTCCACATTCTTAAAATAAAGGTCATTTTTATTTCATACTTCTTATCTTTTTAGCCGTGCCAAAATTATATCAGATGGTTCTCTTCCACACCGAAAATTCCATCAATATCCTCACAGGCTTCCTCATCAGAAGAAAAAGGGCTGTTTTCTCTCTACCTTCTGTTAGAGAAGCTCTAGGGAAGGACCGATTGTCCACCTTGGCCAAGCACCCATTCCTAGCCAAGCACTAGCTGGTGCCAAGTGGCTCTGGCTTGGTCCCAGGCCCCTTGTTAAGGACGGGAGGGAGGACAGTTCTGCACCAGGCAGCAATGGGAGGAATGCAGACAACAGCCATTACAGTCACAGTAGTGAAATTTCCAGAGCCACAGCACAGTGCACTTGCTAGATATGTACTAAGAATGTGAGCTTTAAAAATACCTGTCTCTGTCATCTAAAGAAAGGGAAGCAGAGCAAAATTTATAATAAAATAGCTGCTGGTTTGTTTTTAAACTATTATGTATCTTTACTAAGTATGTGTTCATTGAAGATGACTAAGCAATATGAGGAACTATGAACTTCTGAAAGAACACTGCATTCTTACAGGCTCAGTCGGTATCATTTGATGCTTGGACTCTATTTCTTGCTTATAGAGACAAGGTTGTTGATGATAAGATGGTGTTTGAGGTTGAACTCTATCTCTCTAAAAACGATAAAGTCTCAACTCCTAGTACTTGTGGATAAAACCTTTTGGAAATAAGGTCTTCACTGATTTTCACTGTCAACTTGACTGGATGAAGAGACTCCTGCAGAGGTGGCTGGATCATGTGGCACTGTATTCATTAGTGGGTTAATGCACTAATGCTCACAGCTGCATATGCTGTTAGGTCACTGGGCCCACTGGAGGAGCTGGGTCCCTGGGTGTGTGTGCCTTTGGAAGGTGCATTTTCCTGCATTGCTCTTCCCTGTGTTGGGCTTCCCAGCCACTATAAAATAAGCAGTCATGCTGTTGCATGCCCTTTTACCATGATGCACCTGGCTGGGAGCCAGCGCACCACGCACCGAAGTCTCTGAAGCCCTGAGACAAATAAACCATCGCCTCCTTTAAGTTGCGTACATCAGACACTTTGTTCCAGCAATGAGAAAGCTGACTACTACAAGATCTTTGCAGATATAAGCAAATTGGGGTGACATTGTTGGAGTGGAGCCCTAACCCAATCTGGCTGATGTCCTTATAGAACAGAGAGAAGCCACCAGCACACTGGGAGGCTGGCCACGTGAAGATGAAGGTTAAGACTGAAGCTAGCTACCATCAGCCAAGGAAAGCCTGGCACTACTAGAAACAAGAGCAAGAGGGACCCTTCCCTGCAACTTTTAAAGGAAGAATGGCTCTGCCAATTCCTCAATTTTAGACTTCAGGCCTCCAGAACTGTGAAGAAATATATTCATCCTGTTTTAAGCCAATCAGTTTGTGCTACTTTTCATAGCAACCCAGGAAACTGATGCGGGTGGCACAACTTGGATTTAAAGGACACAGGTTACAAATCAAAGGTACTTAAGTTTGTATGTTGTGCTTTAATACCCAGCTGTGACAAAAATATGCTCACTAAGGGATGAAAAAATGAGTATGAGTTGGTTTGATTGTAGTAATCATTTTACAATGTGCATATGTATAAACATATCATATTAATATATATGACATCATGTTAAACATACAATTTGCATTTGTCAATTATAATCTAGTAAAGAGATATTTAATAGGTAAATAAAATGAATGTACATCAATAAGAATCTCAAGACATAGATTTAGTGTATGGGATAAAATATACCACACAATATTATATTTTTATATTTTAAGATTTTGTACTTCAGGCCTCCAGAAAAGGACAGTGCTTGGGAGGCAATGGTAGGAGAATTATAAATTCAAGGTCAATCTGGGCTATGTAGAGAGGTCAAGGCCAACCTGGACTATGTAGCGAGACCCTGCCTACATAAACCTGGCTGAGGGGAGCAAGAAAGGACAAAAGGCAGTGCTCTTGGACTGTGAAAGACTAGGCACGCATCCCTTCCATATATTCCATAGTACCCTGTCTTAATGTTACAGCTAGTTTAGTTATTTAGAAATATTACAAGCAATCAGGCAGGGCTGGGTCCTCCAGAGGCCAGTGCAGAAGACAAACTGTGGCGGGAGGCACATTCACTGAAGATCAGGCCTCCAGACAAAGGAATGGCTACACTCATACATGTCCCCTAGGGATGAAAAGATGCAGTTGACATTCTAAATAGGTGTATTAATTGGTAGGTGTCTAAATAGATGTTACAACTATACTTGTAATCTTAATGTTTCACCATAGGCTTGTTCCACCGCACACACATCCTGTGATTTTCCATTGGATTAGCATTACCTAAGTGACTATACTTGTAGTCTTACCGATCAATTATAGTTTGGTTCACTTTGAACCCACCTCACCTCAAGGCTTTACTCACCCTTTAAACATCCTAGAGAAGCAAGGTTGGCACAGGCAACCCATCTTCCAGGCCCTCTTTTGTCCCTCTCAGACAGAAGCTTTCTTTCTCTCAATAAACACTTCCTATTCTTAACCTCCATTGTTTCTACAATTCATCGTTTGATTTTGGAGACCACGAACTTGGCATATCACACATCCAGCATGTCAGGAGTTGTGTTCCCCTTATGTTATTTGAATTACTTGGAGGTCCTATACCATCCCTATGTCACACACCCTATATCACTAATTTCATACTATGTCAGCAAGGTGCAAAGTTTTTGGTATCAAGACACTTTTGAACTTCTGAAAATTATTGGTCATTTGAAATTACATTGATCTTCCTGTTACCGGCAGCTGAGTTAGTTAAAAATATTATTTATAGGCAGTCAGACAGGGCTGGGCCCTCAAAAGAGCCAGAGCAGAAATTCAGATAGATACCTTGTGACCTCTGAGGAGATAGGCACCTCCTGCTATAGGCCAGATCTCAAGACAAAAGTCAAAGCAAATACACCCACATCCTAAGGATCCACAGTCCAAATAGTTCTCTACCACCATGAGGAAGCCAGGAGTCAGCATCCCACCCCACTACAGGAAGAGTCCCTGCTGTTAAGCAGGCCGGCTTACCACGTGACTCACTGTCCCATTTGCTCCTAATTTAATCAGTTTTACCTGAGCAATTAATCTCATTGGTTGACCACAGTTCTATCCCGCCTTATGCCCACCTTGTAAATTCCCATTTTTCCCCACCTTTGACCCATCTAACCTCATAATTTTACTCTATAAAAGTCCCTAAAAAAGACAGAGTCCTTGTCAACCCACTCAGGACCCTTCTGTCTCTCAGATAAAAGCCTTCTTTTTTCAATAAATATATTCCACTCTTAACCTCCATTGTTCCTAAAATTCATTCTTTGATTTTAGAGAACACGAACTCATACCGGACATACAGTAGGTCAGGAGTTTCTTCCCCTGTATCAGTAGGATAAGGAAAGCCTCCTGATTCAACAACAGTAACCTGATGTTGCCCAGTCTGCTTTTCATAGTCTTCATTCTTGCTCATGACACCTAAGGAAAACCACTATTCTGCCTTCTGCAATGGAAGACCTTTTCTAAATTTGTAGAAGAGATATCTCTCTTCCATGAATCCATAAGAAAACCCAGTTTGCTCTTTAACTTAAATTTGTTATAATTTTGTCTTTTGGTCTTTTGTCAAGTATCCTCCTAAGGGAATACAGTACCTTTTTGTCACAGGTAAGAAAACCTGAGCGTTCAAGTGCAAATTAGAGTTTTCAGTTTCCTGTGCATTTGCTGAATACCTACTTGTGACACAAAAGTACTGGCAACAAACACTGTCAGTCTTTTTTTTTTTTTCTTAAAGTGACAGGTCATCTGCTCATTTAACAAGATGCCCACAAAAACCCAAGTCTGAATAACCCTAGTTTGTCTTGTTGGACATTGTTTCGAATAAAAACAGTATTCCAAGAAGCAGTCACTTCAGCACACAAGTGCTTTTCTTAGGTATGCCGTGTTACATTACTGAGGAAAGCTCTTCCTGCACGCTGCCTACTCCGTCACACACAAAAAACAAGAGCATATATCTCTGAGGTTCAAAACTATACCAAGTTATTATTATACTGCTTCAGGAAATGTATTTTTAAGTTAAACTAGAATTTTTCACCATGTGCATGAGTACAGTTTGATACCACCACCTTCATTTCTGTTAGGGCATCAGGAGATTTATTCTCAGGGCAAATGTCAACACAGTGGAAGAAACAAAGTACTAATCAGTGATTCTTAAAATAACGTGGCCAGGCACAAAGGCATCATCTGCCATCCCAGCCACTCAGAAGGTGGAGGCAGGAAGATCACCTGGGCCCAGTGGAGACTGTTCCAGAGCCAAAATAAAATCACAGCACTGATTTTTTTGGGCCTCTGGAATTCTAGGGTCCTTGGACCAAACTGAGAATCACTGTACTGTCATTTCTACTGCAATGGACACTAACTCCTTGAGGGCCAAGACTATTATTCATTGCTATAATTTGAAGGCACCAACATTACACACAGTGTTCAATTAATAAATATAAATTTGTGGGTTACAGGTAGTGGCCCTATTTAGTCACCTGCATAATTCCTAATGAAGAGTAAACAAGTCCAGGAAAGCAGTGTTAGCAGAGTGATGAGGGGGAACTGATGTATTTAAAATACAATTGAAGATTCAAAAAAAAAGAGCATAACAAGAATGAGTTAACTAAGAATGAAAAGACTTTGGAAGCCATCCTGCTGGAAATGACAAGGGCAGCTGCATGCCAAGAGGCCCAGTTCCAATGTAAACTTAAACAGATGGACCTGGAACTCCAGCAGGCCGCTTCCCTATGAAACCCCTGGTTAAAAAAGAGAGGTCTATGTGACAAAACAGGGACCAACTACAAAGAGATGTAGATAAGAGAAAAAAAATAAACAAATAAACAAACAAAAAAGCATGCACTCAACAGAAGATCACATGTATAAATCTGTGATGGACCTGTTTACTACTGTTAATCTGTAGTTCATTAAATCACATTATAAGACATATCCTCTGCTCTTCTGGATATAGTAAAATTGTTCCTAGAAAAATTGCACACTGAGTGGACCTTATGGGCTCATAAAAACTGATCAGAGTAGAAGAAAAAGGAAAGAGAGGAAAGGTGGCAACCCAATATGTAAGACTTCAAAGGAAACACTTCTTCATTTTGAGCTCTCTCGTGATGAAGTATGGCCTATGAAACACAGTGACAGTACTTACCCACTGCAAACCTCCCGTTTTGCAACAAACACTGGAGGAGGAGATCATGCTTTGGCTAATCTGAGGGACAGGCCCACCAGCAAAGCCCCAGAGTCTTTTCCCTGCACCAGGACAGCCCAGCCCACAAAGATCTACCTTGGTAACGTGAAGATCATCGTTTGAACGACGAACTGGAGGCAAATGATCTCTTATTTCTGGAAATTTTTCAGTTTCCTGAAATTGTATCCTAGTTTCTTCTTTTTTAATTTCTGATACCCAACTCTAAAAAGAATGAGGAAAAAAAGAAGGTGAATATACAGTGTGTAATAATTACCCAGACATTAGAAAGGACTGTACATCCTAATTTCCTATGAGTCCACTTTTAGGTGATAATTTGATATGCTATTCTCTATGAAACATCTTTCCTACCTTTTCTTTTTAATTGTGGCAAACAAAATAGCATAAAAATTGGAGTTTCTTCTATTTATTTATTTATCTGGTCTTTTTTTGAGGCAGAGTCTTGTTACATAGTTCACGCTGGTCTGGAACTTGCAATGATCCTCCTGTTTCAGTCTTCTGAGCGCTGGGATTACGTGTATGCACCACCATACCTAGCTCAAAATTGGCCTTCTTAACCATGGCTCAAAAATTAGCATTCTTAACCATTTTAATCAGTCTTGTTAAGAATACTCACATTGTAGTTGCTCTTACTTACACTTGGATATATCCTTCTATAACAGTCTCCAAAAAAACCAGATCATAGGTCTAAATATAAGAGTTAAGGGGCTGGAGGTTTAGCTCAGCGGCATAAGCGCCTGCCTTGAAAGCAGGCAGTTGTAAGTTCAATCCCTGGTACCGATAAAAAGGAAAAAGACAAAAAAAAAAAAAAAAGTGGGGGGGGGGAGAGTTAAGAGACTTCCAGGAAAACGTTCGAGCGGTGAGGAGCAGGGAAAGAGCCTCTCTGAGATTTGGTGTCCAGACACTGGAACATAGCAACATGAGGAAGAGAACAAGGAGCGAAGTGGGTCCTCAGGACTCAAGAAAGATCTACAGATAGAATTGAAGCACACAGAGAGACTGAAGAGAGAAACTTCAACAAAGAGAGAGGTGGCAAGTGTGTCTTCTCTCTGGTTCAGACTGATTGCGTGGGAGGGATGCTCAAACTGGCAGGCGGATAGTACTGCTGGCAACCCAAGAGGTCTCCAGAGAAAAATGCACCAGTGGAATGGAGCAGTGAATGCAGCAAGCTGCAGTGGCTGCTGAATTATTTGGTTTCAGACATCTAGAGGACAGGGCAATTGGCTGGTAGCCATCCAAGGGAAAGGCCAACTGAGCTCAGAACTCAGAACAACTGCGAGCTCCATCTAGCAGCTCCCAGCTGAGTTCAAGCCAGCAGGATGCACATGGACTGCTGCAGGTTAAACTATGGTGGGTTCGTGAACAACGATATAGGAATGCAAGCAGCCAAATTGATACATTTGGAATTTAATTAGCTGAGCTCAGCACCACTTCTATACAGACACCACCATCCCCATTTCAGAGTCCAAAGAAGTTGCACTGAATTGGAAAGTTACAGAGTTTTAAAAAGAGAGGTCAAAAGAGAAAGCCTGTTGGAAATAATTTAGCTAGAATCTTACATTAATTTTTAGTTGACACCTGAATCCTGCTTCTTCTGTTGAGCAGGTTAATTTTTCTCCTGTGGGTACAGCTCATTCTGCTTTTCTCATGGGACTCATACCATGAGTGATTTTTTTATTTTCCTGGGACAAATACAGGGCACTAGTTAAGTGCAGGGTTCAAGATGGCGTCAGTTATGCTAAGCTACAACAAAACACGTCTGGTTCCAGCCTCATGACCAGAAAATAGCCTAAACTTCAGTGGAAATAAAGACGCAGGGTCGGAGATATAGCTCAGCAGTGTTAGTGCCTGCCAGCCAAGCACAATGTTTTGAATTTGATTCCTGGTACAATTAAACAAAAAAATATAGTCTATTTGGGATTACCTACTGACCCATCATAAAGCTACTGCTGGCTTGTTGAGATAAATGAACCCAGATATGGACTCTGTCTGGCCACCCTGTCTACCAGTGACCACAGAGAAACACCTTGAAGTGAAAATTTTGTTTCTTTTTTTGTCTTGTTTTTCTGTTTTGTTTTTTCTTGTTTTTCTTCATTATTTGTTCTTGTTTTTATATGCTGTGAACATGATTTCTAGTCTGTTATTGTTATTCTGTTCTTATTTTTATTTCTTCTTTTTCTTTTTTCCTCCTCTCTCCTTCACCAGTTTCCCAATTTTGCATAATCTTCCTTTGTCTTCCAGCCTCGCTTCTAATCTCTTCCTCTTCTTCTGTTTCTCTGTTTTTTCCCTTACCCTCTTTTAACTTAACCATAAGGGTAAAATAGCCATGTTCAGGGCTTACTTTGTGCATACAATTTCCTGGTTTGTTTTAGAATTTGACATATAACTACAAATTTAGTTTGTACAGTTAAAGGTGGCAAATTAATAGTTATTTCAGTTTGTCTTTTTTAGGCTGTTTGATGCTATTGTTATTGTTGATTGTACCACTTTAGCCAAAATGACATAATTCTTTTAAACAGCTGTTCTTCTTGTTATACCAAGACTGAGATTGCCTAAGTCACAGAAATTACTATAGCCCAGCTCCAAAGAACCAGAGGCTGGGCCAAGTAGGCAGCAACTTCTCATCCCAATAAATTCAAAAGGTAGACTCTTGAAACAGACTCAAAATCCAAAAGCCAGCTACACCTGGAAGACACGTCTGAGAAGTAGTCGTTTCCTGAGAGTTCTAAATACTAGCAATAAAGTTACTGATCACAGGAAACTTATAAACCTCAATCCAGGAATTAGACTAAAAAAGAAAGTAGAAAATGAGAAGACTCTTAAATAAGATGTAACCCCAGACATCCAGTTCAGAGAGTGCTAATCCAGGGGCCAATGAGGCGGAAGGATCTGAAAGTCACACACATGGACTCTCTGAAGTGGCAATAATGGAAGTAACATTGCAAGGGAATGGGGCTCTTGAAAAAAACAAAATCAGAAATAATTTTTCAGGTAACTACAGAAATGGTGACTATAATGAAAGATACGCTTAGTGACTCTTGTGCAGATACAGATAAAAATATAGAGGAGTTTAGGAAAATGTTGGAAACCATGAATACCCATAATAGGGAACAAATGGAGTCCCAGAAACAGATTCAAACAGATATCTAGGAGATTAAAAATTCCATTGAAAGTATATACAGCAGAAAGAGCCAATGTGAAGACAGAACTCAGATATGCAATACAGGCCTGCAGTCACCGATCATGAAAAGAAAGATTTCTTTCTTTCTTCTTCTTCTTCTTTTTTTTTTTTTTTTTTTTTTTTTTTTTGAGACAAAGTTTCTCTGTGCAGTTCAGGCTGGCCTTGAGCTCACTTTGTATCCTACATTGGTCTCAAACTTGCAATGATCCTCCTGCCTCAGCCTCCCAAAAGCCAGGATTACAGGCATGAGCCACCACACGCCCAGCTAAAGAAAGATTTCTTAAAAGTGGCAAAGAACAACAAAAAATCAGTCTAGCAGCTGCTAGATGGTGCAGTGAAGAAGAAGAATCAAAGGTTGATTAGAATCAATAAAAAAAACAAGAGATAGTACAAACAGAAAAACTGTTCATAGACATCATTACAGAAAACTTCTCTGGCAAGAAAAAATATAAAATACATCTATGAAATACAATTTGCATATAGAAACCCAATTAGCCATGATGGAAAAAAACTACAGCAAGGCATATAATAGTCACGATTCTAAATTCAACACAAGAAGAGAATATTGAAAGCTGTTAGAGAAAAAAAAATTACCTATAAAGGGAAGCCCACCAGAATCACAGTAGACTTCTCAATGCAAATCCTCAAGTGAAGAATTGGAACGAAGTGTTTCAAGCTTCAAAAGAAAACAACCTCCAACCCAGACTGATGTACCTTGAAAAACTATATTTCAAAGTTGATGGAGAAATAAGATACTTCCATGATAAAGAACACCCACAAAACTCACGAACACCAAACCAGCACTCCAAAATGGTCAGAAGGATATTCTATAAAGAGACAACGAAGATTACAACTTCATCAATCCCAACAGAATGAACCCACTATACCAGGCAAACAATTAAACAGAGGGGGAAAAACAGGAGCCAACAACAGGAAAGTAATACGACAAGGATAAGTCTATACATATCTGTTATAACAATCAATGTTAACAGTCTGAATTTACCAATCAAAAGAAACAGGTTGACAGAATGGATCAAAAAGCAAGATCCAATAACACACTGCATACAATAAACACATTTAATTGAAAAAGAAATCCATGGACTAAAAATCAAAAGATAGAAAACAATACTCCATACGACGAGAACCCAGAAAAACGCAATGGGAGCTATTCTATTTTGCAGACAAAGTGAATTTCAAGCCAAAACTGTTTAAGAGAGATAAAGAAGTTCATTACATATTTTTAAATGGAACAACCCCAGAGGAAGAGATAACAATCATAAATATATATGTACCAAATACCAGTGGACTATATATGTATTAATGGATATGAAAAATCAAAAGCACTAATACAACTGTAATGCTGGACCTCAGTACCCCACTGTCACAGATAGACAGATCAACTAGACAAAAAACAACAATAAAATATTAGAACTGAACCAAAATTTTGAACAAAGGGACTTAGTAAATGCCTACAAAAGGTTCTACTCCACAACATCAGAATACACATTCTTCTCAGCTGCACACAGGACATTCTTCAAAATAGACCACATACTAGCTCACAGAATATGCTTAAGTAAATGCAAAGGAACTGAAATTATCCCATGCATGGTACCAGACCATAGTGGAATAAAACTGGTAATCAATGTCAAAAAAACCCACAAGAACTTCATAAAAACATGGAAATTAAATAGCAGTTTCCCGAACAGCCAATGAGTCACAGATAAAATTAGAGAAGAAATTAGACAGTTTCTACAATTAAATGGGAATGCCAATGCAAAATACCAGAACTTATGGGACACAACAAAAGCAGTCCTATGAGGGAAATTTATAGCAGTGAATATCTATGTCAGAAAAACAGAGCAAGCTCAAACAAACTTAATATTGAACCACAGGCTTTTAGAAGGAAGAAGAGGAAGTCAAGCCCAGAGCTCATATTAGGGAGGAAATCACAAAAATCAGAGCAGAAATTAATGTCATGGAGACTAAAAAAAATTACAAAGAATCAATGAATTTAACAATTGAT